TGGTTTTCTGCTGAGAAATTAGAGGTACATGTTAGGGCCAGTGTTGCACTAAAGGCATGAAGCCTGTGCGTTTATCGTACACTAATGCGCTGTGCACTGCACCACATGCTAGGAGCACGGGCGCATTACTTTATCCACCACAACGCAACAACTGTATTGTGGTTCTACATACTGTGCTATGATGCAACAAATTATTGCTGGGAAGTGCATTATAAGTGCCAATCAAATAAATGGCACTGACACCATAGAGTGTTTACTGAACACTGACACCATGGAGTGTTTACTGAACAATGACACCATGGAGTGTTCACTAAGCACTGACGCCATGGAGGGGGTCACTGAACACTGACACCATGGAGGGGTCACTGAACACTGGCACCATGGAGGGGTCACTGAACACTGGCACCATGTAGGGGTCACTGAACACTGACACCATGGAGTGTTCGCTGAACACTGACACCATGGAGGGGTCACTGAACACTGGCACCATGGAGGGGTCACTGAACACTGGCACCATGTAGGGGTCACTGAACACTGACACCATGGAGGGGTCACTGAACACTGACACCATGGAGGGGTCACTGAACACTGACATCGTGGAGTGTTCTAAACAATGACACTGACACCATGGAGTGTTCACTGAACAATGACACACTGACACCATGGAGGATTTACTGAACACTGAAACCATGGAGTGTTCACTGAACAATGACACACTGACACCATGGAGGATTTACTGAACACTGAAACCATGGAGTGTTCACTGAACAATGACACACTGACACCATGGAGGATTTACTGAACAATGACACACTGACACCATGGAGGATTTACTGAACAATGAAACCATGGAGTGTTCACTGAACAATGACACACTGACACCATGGAGGATTTACTGAACACTGAAACCATGGAGTGTTCACTGAACAATGACACACTGACACCATGGAGGATTCACTGAACAATGACACACTGACACCATGGAGGATTTACTGAACAATGACACACTGACACCATGGAGGATTTACTGAACACTGAAACCATGGAGTGTTCACTGAACAATGACACACTGACACCATGGAGGATTCACTGAACAATGACACACTGACACCATGGAGGATTTACTGAACAATGACACACTGACACCATGGAGGATTTACTGAACACTGAAACCATGGAGTGTTCACTGAACAATGACACACTGACACCATGGAGGATTCACTGAACAATGACACACTGACACCATGGAGGATTTACTGAACAATGACACACTGAATCGTGGAGTGTTCTAAACAATGACACTGACACCATGGAGTGTTCACTGAACAATGACACACTGACACCATGGAGGATTTACTGAACAATGACACACTGACACCATGGAGGATTTACTGAACAATGACACACTGACACCATGGAGGATTTACTGAACAATGACACACTGACACCATGGAGGGTTCACTGAACACTGACACCATGGAGTGTTCTGAACAATGACACTGACACCATGGCATGTTCAGTCAAAATGAAATCCATTATCTGAGAAAGCTTATACATGTATCTTAGTGAAATATAATGTACATTTAAAATAAAATGAATGGCACTGCAACGTATCAGAGCACCTACTGTGCAGTGCATTGTGCTTTGCAATAGTGTACATATGCATGGGGGGTACCATGCCAACAGTGCAATGCTTTGGTATGAACCGACCCTGATGACTTCTCTAGGAAACACAAACTTAATTTCACCCTTCTACTGCTGTGGGTTTATTTTTTTTCTCGAAATCTAACATAGAAGCACAGTGGTGCTCAAATAGCAGTGAATAATACCTGGATGAAGTTTTCTTAAGGAATGTCCCAGGAGCAAGCCCAGACCCAGGGTACTATGTTATAGCAATATAGGAAATGCCTCCTGTGCCAGTACGATGATGGGCAGCCTCACATAGGCACAGCAGATGGGAGAAGAGGGGAGGGCAAAACTGCAAATATTCTAGATGAACTTGATATTTGCATAATAGAGTACGCCAAGTTTTGGGGTTTCCTAGGCATCCTGGTAAATTATTAGCATCAACTTCTCCACAAGTTAACTTTAATAACAGGTATGATCTGCAGGTTCAATCTGGAAATGCGGGTCTCAGGGTTAGTCATATATACATTTATATACATATGCAATGCATCGGTTTCATGAAACTAAAGTGTATCTAAACATACGTTTATTTTAATTATGGATGGAGTATGGAAGGGTTAGAACTACTGTCAGGTTTTTATAGCTGTCTTATAGATGCCAGCTAACCTAAATTTGCCAGTCTGCATCTGGGCCATCTGTCCTGCTGATGCTGTCCTGGAATACAGCATCAGCCTTATTTGAGTTACTACCTGTGCACAATAACTCAAAAAGGCATTCATTGTGGGGATTGAGGCTGTGAGTAGGTGGTCCCCACATACTTAAAGGTGGGTTCTTGGCGAGACCAACCGAATCATTGGGTGTAATTTGGGAACACCCACGTGGAAAATAGGGGGGGGGGGGGGGATGCAGAACATGGGCGGGATAAGCAGGGTCCCAAGATCTGTGACTGCAATGTTGGTAAGTATGATGTCTCTGTGCTAGGTAACCATTGTCACTGGGACACAGTGATGGTAAATTTTGAGTTGCCACTGGGCAAATCCTTCAATGGGGACTTTTATTCAAATGGCAAATGAGAGGAAATTTCTCCAAAGTGAGTTTCCTCTCACTTCCTGATGTGACTACAGGACAGGAAATGAAGAAACAAAGACATGTTTAATCTATGAAATACAGAAGGTAAGTGACTCCAGGTTGTCACATGTATAGTGTGGACTAGAGTGGGGGTTGGGTTTACTCTATCAGTAATAGCTAAGCTGCAGACAAATAAAAGAGAGCTATGTATGTCTTTAGGTAGAAACAAAGTCCTTAAAGCAAACAGTAAATGTGAGGCAGAGTATTGGTACAAGCTGAAGTCTGGGCATGTGGCAGATGATCATGAAAGAGTACCTGGCAAAAGTCAGGGCAGGCAGAACAGAATCAGGAAGTCAGTGCAGGCAGCAGATGAATAGGAAGGTGTATCAGGCAGAAGTCAGTGTGGGCAGTGGATCAGTAGGAAGGAGTGACAGGCAGAAGTCAGTGCAGGCAGTGGATCAGTAGGAAGGAGTGACAGGCAGAAGTCAGTGCAGGCTGCAGATCAATAGGAACGAGTAACAGGCAGACGTTAGGGTGGGCAGCAGATGAACAGGAAGGTGTATCAGGCAGAAGTCAGTGCAAGCAGCAGATCAATAGGAAGAAGTACCAGGCCGAAGTCAGTGCAGGCAGCAGATCAATAGGAAGAAGTACCAGGCAGAAGTCAGCGCAGGCAGCAGATCAATAGGAAGGAGTACCAGGCAGAAGCCAGGGCAGGCAGCAGGTAAGCGGGAAGGAGTACTTGGCAAAATTCTGGACAGGCAACAGATGATAAGGAGTGCCAGGCAGATGTCAGGGCAGGCAGCAAATGAGGAGGAAGGAATACCATATATCACTGTCTTAGCATCCCGTACACTAACATTTAATAAATGACATATTTTTTTACAATTTTTATGATTAAACATTATGTTTGGAATTCGCTAAAGGTTTTATTGCAGTGAGCGGTTTAAATGACTGTATCCACATTATATTGTTTTCTTGACTGCAGAGGTTCCAGAAGCTTCTGGCGGGCAATAAGGTGTATCTAAAGCCAAAACCTTTTTTTTTTAAAGGGTGGGGAGGGAGTTAGAACCCCTATCCGGTTTTTACTGTCATCTATGTTGCTGCTGGGGAGATTCGCCCTCTCAGTTTATTCTGATAGCCTGGTCAAGTGGCTGTTGTAACTTTGGAAAGATTTCCTCTCACTTCCGGTTACGTCTACAGGTCAGGAAGCTTAGGCAAATCTCACAAATGCCAAAAAAAGATGTTATCCGAATAGGGTTGCCACCTGTCCAGGATTCACCCGGACAGTCCGGGTTTTGAATGCTGTGTTCGGGTTTCATGTCAGCAGAAACCCGGACACATGATGTCAGGCAGACAGGGGCAACCAAAATTAAGATAGGGGCTACTGGCCCCCCACTAAAAATAGTCTCGACTGTGATATTTACATATGAATGGGTGACGATATTTACATATGAATAAGCCACGACTCATTCTCCCAAAAGAGTTTCCGCACGTCGCAAGAGTGTTCGTGTTTCACTGGAAGAAAAGGTGGCAACTAGGGTTGCCACCTGTCCAGGATTCACCTGGACAGTTCGGGTTTTGAATGCTGTGTTCGGGTTTCATGGCACCAGAAACCCGGACACAAGGTGTCAGGTAGACAGGGGCAACCAAAATTAAGATAGGGGCTACTGGCCCCCCACTAAAAATAGTCTCAACTGTGATATTTACATATTAATGGGTGGTTCCTTTTACATATGAATAAGCTGCGACTCATTCTCCCAAAAAAATATGTCCACGTGTCGCTAGAGTGTTCGGGTTTCGCTCGAATAAAAGGTGGCAACCCTAGTGGCAACCCTATATCCGTACCCCTTACTACATCCAAAATGAAAAGAAAACAAAAGTATGTAGATACACTTAAACTACAGCCAAAATGTATTGTTAGCTTTGGACAAGGGTGGAAAGCGTTAAAGTTGTGAAAATGTGTGAATACACGTTCAGTAAACTGGCCGAAGCAAGTCAACACATCCCCAAAACTTTTACAATAAGCATTTCCACGATTAAAAGTCGAAATATCAATGTAGACCCCTCATGATGATGCATTTCTGTGTACAAAGGCCTATTCGACACTCCGAGATTTTTGGCACAATCATCGTGATGCAGACACCAAAACATCTTCCCCAACATGGCTCCTCTATTGCGGACAGTGACGAAGCGCAATGTTTTCACTCTAGTGCCCACACCAGGCACGTTTCACCTCACGCACGATGGAACGTAGGATCTCGTACTGCCTCGCGCAGCTCCCTATTGGTGAGCAGAAGCGAACACGTGGTGACGTCACCCTGCACCCGGAAGTAGTTTCTGCACACCGCTTTGAATGAAATCCGGCTGATTCACTGCGGCTTCCGGCAGGATACTCTGGTGAAGTTAGAAAGGTTCAGCTCAGCGTTGTAGTGTAAGGTGAGTCCAGAAATACAAGCAGACCTTTATACGGGAGTCCGCCTGATTCTAGCGCCTGCGGGTGCCATGAGAGACCGAGGAGTGACTAGGCCGCCGGTGAAGCCTGGGACTCGAGTAGCTGTACATGCTTAATGTATGGAGTCATGGCAACGCTGCTTTTTTTTGTTGGTGATGTGAATGTTAGGATGAATATACATTTTAGGGTACACGAGTAGATCAATGTAATGATTGCAGTGGATGGCCAGAGGGCTTGTTACCTCCTAGGAATGCACACTCATCCTTCAAAGAGAACCGGTCATCGCTTCATATTTGTTCTAGGAAGAGTGTGTTGACAATGTTTACTTCACTCCTCTGCTAAGATGATCTGTTGCTGTGGTGACATTTTGTGTCTTACTGAAATAGGAACTGCACCCCTGGTATTTTTTTATGCACTCTTACCTGTGTTGATGGGTTTTCTTAAAAAAACATTATCTTCTGCCTAGTGAATTCAGTGTTATCCTGCTGAGATCCTCTGCTCAGCCTCCACTGGCCAAGTCTCCTGCTGCCATCTTTCTTCCATCATCAGGAGCTGCCTCTTCCATATTCCTGTAGCCGACCCCTGATGATGCACCGCCAGGTCTGCCCGAAAGCCTCTGTATGTTCCTGCTACTTGTGGCGTTCTGGTATATGTGTCAGGGATACCCTAAGAGCCTGTGGGAACAGGGACATGCCTAGGTAAGAATGGAGGCCTGGGGGCGCAGGCTGGAGTACAAAAAAAAATTTAAAAAATGTTTACCAAATATTGTCTTTTTTAATATTGTGGAGGAAGAAGGGATGCAATGGGGAAAGGTTTGTTCTGGGAGTGAAGGTCCTCTTTTTTAAATGGAATTCCACCAATTTAATGTCTCCCGAAACGGTTACTGTTAAGTCGTAACAACTGTCAAGAGATGCGTTCAGTTGCTCAGCCGCTGAACTCTGCTGCAAGTCAGCGCTAACGTTGCAGTGGAAGGGAATGTGGATGCAGAGTGACGGAGAAGGTGTGGACACAGCACCAGCATCCACAGTAACTGCGGGCGCGCCTGGCAGTAATGGAGAAGGGTGCCCGAGCTCCGATGTAGCAAATCACAATTCATTGTGGCAACTGGTGTCCTAGCTGATCACACCTGCGGCACCATGGCAACTGCAATCCAAATAGAGGCTAAGATGGCACCTTCGTTGGCTGTAAAGGATAGGAAGTTGTAGCGCCACTTATTGTTTTATCCAATTGCAAAATAAAAAAAATAAAAAAACAAACACAAGTATGACAATCAAATGAACAAGGTACGTTCTGAACTTATTTGTAGGTCCACTTTAAAATTTTGTTTTATTACAAACTTTTGTTATCCTGAATTCATTAAACTTTTTTATGGTGTTTTCTGGTTTCAGCCCGACTGTGCTGCCTTTTCTGCAGTAATTACATATGCATACGTAAGCTCCAACTTGCTCATCCATAACTTCCACACTAGTTCTCCCCTCCTTCTATTCACTCGACTGGTAAGATCGTCCATGTTTTGGCACGCTGCTGGTAAGTTCCTTTGTGCCATGCTGCTGGTTAGATCGCCTGCTCTCTGCTATGGTTCTGGTAAGGTAGCCTGCACGCTGCCGGTAAGGTGGCCTGTGCTCTGCTGCGCTTACAGTAAAGTGGCCTGCGCTCTGCCGCACTGCCGGAAAGGTGGCCTGCGCTCTGCCGCACTGCTGGCAAGATGTATTGATTGCATTTTCCCCACCAGCTGTTTAAAACGTATGCTCTTGCTTTGAAAACCTGAGTCACGTATGGCCAGTGTTGCTTCCTGCTGTGGATTACCAGCTCCTGAGTTTCATGCCCAGCCACTGCACTGATTTTGATACCCGAGATGATTTGCAGTCATGTGACTCAAAAGTATAAAAATCAGGAATTTAATTGGTGATTTATACATTTTGCATAAACTCACACTGGGCACGTCATTGGCCTCTGTGGGAGGCATAGTGGCACTTTGTTGGCCTCTGTGGGAGGCATAGTGGCACTTTGTTGGCCTCTGTGGGAGGCATAGTGGCACGTTGTTGGCCTCGGTGGGAGGCATAGTGGCACGTCGTTGGCCTTGGTGGTGCAACAATGTCAATGAGAGGAATAATAGTGTGTGATTGCCATCAGTAGGATGATTAGCTCTGCATTGGTGGAAGGAATAGTGGCATGTCATTGACATCAGTGGATAGAAATAGTGCCCCATTTTTGGTGTCAGCGGGAGGAGGCATAGCACCCAATTTGTGGTTTTCTCCCAGCTGCTATGCATACAGGACGTGGGGGCCAGTAAAGAGCATTTAATTTAGGCTGTAGTTTGAGGACTGCTGTCCTAGATGGTATTCTGAAGGGAACAACACTGAGCCAGATTCTCTAAGCAGAGGGAATAAAGTTACCAATTTGTAGAACTTTAGTTTCTGGTTGCTTGAGAGTTAATAGTAACTCGCAAGCAAGCACCCCAAACCCTCCTCCTTGTGGCACCCTGCATATTATGCTCGAGTGCCGGATAATGGGGAGTTTACTGTATAAAGGTGTCAGAGAATAGTGACAGGTTCTTTTAATAGCCCATTGAAGTGGGAGGCATAGTGGCACTTTGTTGGCCTCTGTGGGAGGCATAGTGGCACGTTGTTGGCCTCGGTGGGAGGCATAGTGGCACGTCGTTGGCCTTGGTGGTGCAACAATGTCAATGAGAGGAATAATAGTGTGTGATTGCCATCAGTAGGATGATTAGCTCTGCATTGGTGGAAGGAATAGTGGCATGTCATTGACATCAGTGGATAGAAATAGTGCCCCATTTTTGGTGTCAGCGGGAGGAGGCATAGCACCCAATTTGTGGTTTTCTCCCAGCTGCTATGCATACAGGACGTGGGGGCCAGTAAAGAGCATTTAATTTAGGCTGTAGTTTGAGGACTGCTGTCCTAGATGGTATTCTGAAGGGAACAACACTGAGCCAGATTCTCTAAGCAGAGGGAATAAAGTTACCAATTTGTAGAACTTTAGTTTCTGGTTGCTTGAGAGTTAATAGTAACTCGCAAGCAAGCACCCCAAACCCTCCTCCTTGTGGCACCCTGCATATTATGCTCGAGTGCCGGATAATGGGGAGTTTACTGTATAAAGGTGTCAGAGAATAGTGACAGGTTCTTTTAATAGCCCATTGATGTTTTGCTTTTCCTAATTCCCTGTGCTGTACAGCTCTCCTGTTTGCCTAATGTAGCTCAGAGTGAGCACTGGGGGTCCCCTGTTCGAATCCCGGCCAGGTCACTATCTGCAAGGAGTTTGCATGTTCTCCCTGTGCTTGCGTGGGTAGACATGCTGGTAGGTTAATTGGCTCCTCTCTAAGTTGGCCCTCTGTGTATGCATGTGAGATAGGGACCTTAGATTGTAAGCTCCTTGAGGGTAGGGACTGATGTGAATGTGCAAGTGTAAAGTGCTGTGTAAATTGTCTGCCTTATATAAATACCTGTAATAAATAAATTGAAGACAAGTACCAGTGGAATGATAAAAGAGCCATTAAAGGAACCAGCCCCCTTGCAGGGATGTGACGGATGTGCATTAAGAAAACGTTTATAGGAACAGTGTTAGAGTTGATCCTGGCAGATTCGCTTTAGGAACAGCTACACCACGCATTATTTCTGTTTAAAATGTCAGCAATGTGACAACATAGTAATTTAAAAAGAAAATCTCAAGTCTGTATAGAGAAATCTGCTATCGCTATCCGTGTGAGACGCCTATAGACCGATTCCCTGTATTGGCTGTGTCTTGGACTGTAGTTGTCCTCTATCTATGCCCCACTAGCGGCTGCCTGTTTTACACTTCTGAAATTAGCAAATGTGTTTTGTGTAACAGAAGTTTCAGTGAGGCTGCATATGAAGCCCAGACTCGATGATCTCTCTTCACCAAATGTTTGGCTATAAAGCAGCACTTATTTTAATGTCTGTTACACAAAGACTTTTTACTGTGAAATAAAGCAAAACGTAGGCGTTAACGTCAACTATGATTTTCACCTTGAAATACCGCACGCTAGCAAGGACCTTTCATGTTACCAAAACGTTGCTGAACTTTTTCAAACTAAGTTTTGTACAAAAAATAATAATATTTTCCTTTCCCCAAGAGATATTGGAGAGTCAACAAGTGTGGCGACAATCAAACTGATACTAGCCCAGTATGCCCTTCATACTTGGAGGGGGTCCACCCATAAAAGGGAACCCCCTGTTCAAAGAAATGGTGCTCGGTGCCGATAGTAACCAACCCCCTTATGTAGATGTAAAGCCAAAACTTAGATTTTTTTTTTAGTTTCGGATAGAGTAATGCAGGGGTGGATACATTATGAAATTCATGAGCCAGCAGGATTTTTTAGGATCCAGCTCCATTGATACCAACTAGAAAAACCTCAAACTATAGAGGGCAGCTGTAATTTTGAAGGGGCATTGACTACCTGGCTCCTGGGATTTGTCCAGCCCTGGAGTAAAGGAGGGTTATAACTTCAGACAGCTTTTTCATTCTGCCTTGTGTCCCACTGGGAAAATTTCCCTTTATTTCCTCTTTGATATCCACAACAGGAAGTGAGAGGAAGTCCCTCCAAAAAAAAAAAAGAACTCCTTGGTTGTTAGCATGGTCACCAGAACTATTGTCCCCATTGGAAGATTTCCTATTTATTCCTGTTCTGATGACACTTTCAGCGATAAGTCACCAGGACAAAATGAGAGGGTGAATCTCCCTAACGGGGACTCGAGACAACAGAAGAAGCCTGACAGAGCTCCTAATCCCTCTCCAATTTTTAACAGAAAACAATATTGTTTCTCTGGAAAACTGCAATTGTACTTACTGTATGGCATACCATAGATCTGATCCTTTACAGCCTTGGTTCTCAACTGGTGGGTAATGACCCAAAAGTGGGTCGCGTGCATTCCACTTTTCTAGGCTCCTCAGCCATTCAAAATATACTGCCAGGTGCCGAGTGTCAGCTTGAGGTGGACCCCAGTCT